TTGCCCTTCCCCAGCCTCCACCACCACCTCTGGAGCCACACTCCCACTCCCTGTTGGCTGTTCCTCCTCTTCCTCAGAGTCAGTCTCCACCAGGGGCATGACAAGTTCTGCAAAGAGTTGTCGCAGAGCATGGGGTCCAGGATCAGTCTTAATCCCTCCCAAGGACAATCCAGCTTTGGTATGTCCCATTCCTGACCTGTCGCAGCCTTACAAGGGAGAATGGGCATTGCCTTAGCTGAACGCCTGTTCTCCTTGTAGGCAGGACAGGTCAGCCCCACCCTAATGGAACTGGTCCTTACAGTGGACCGATGGGAGGGGGGAACCGATAACGGTCTCTTTTGATTTTTGTTTTACTCAGAGGCAGTCCTGTCTGTCGTGATGACTTTGTAGAAAACTGGGAGGAGTCACCCAGAGTGGGCAGAGCTAGGCTAATAAGCCTTTTAGATAGAATCAGTCCAAGCAGCTAGGACAAGAGCAACTCCCATTTCTGACCTGTCTTGCCTACAAGGAGAACAGGTGTTCAGGTAAGACAACACCCATTCTCAAAATGTTGTTCACCTTCAATCATGAAAGGTTCAGGGACAGTAGGGGGTGCTGACCATAAAGATGAGGTAGATTCAGGTTTCAGTAAGCTGCAGTGAAAAACTGGGTGAATCCTCCACAAGGACCTAGGTAATTCTAGTTCCACTGTAACTGGATTTATAATGTGTTTAATAGGAAAGGGGCCTATAGACTTGGGACCTAATTTTTAAAGGGTTGTAAGGATTGGAGGAATCATGAACAAATATACATAATCCCCAATTTTAAACTCCTTAGGTTTAACCCTTTTTAAAATCAGCCTGGACTTTGTAAGCATTCCTAACTTCAGCAAGGAACTTTCATACAACAGGCCAGATATTTTGTAGGTGAAAGATCCACTTTCAATGATGGAATTACAAAATATTTTACTGGCAATTCAGGCATTGGTTTAAATTCTTGTCCTGTAGCTACTTGGAATGGAGTGAAACTAGTGCTACTATGTACCACATTGTTGTAAGCGCTGAGCAGAAACGGAGAAAGCGAAGTGTTTGGAGCAGGGTGAGAAGAATTTTTTCTAATCGAATAAAGCCCCAAAAGACTATTTAAAAACAGAACTCATTGGTATTATTGGAGCAGCGGTATAAGCATTGGGAGAAAAATCTAAAAGTTTAAAAAAATCAGGAAAGACAAATATTTGGAAAATATGAAAAATTTAAACTCTAAAATGGACAGGCGTCATATTGGAAAGGCATTACAGATGCTGGAACCATATATTTAAAGAAAAAACAGCTGTCAGAGCTGAAGAAAAAAGAGATAGTATTCTATTACTTGGGATTTATTTTTAAAACTGGAGAAAATTGGGTAAAAATGGAATAAGGTACCACCGGCTGACAGAAGAAAGGTACAACCTACTCTCAAAAGACTTTAATATAAGATTAGAAGTGGATTTGGATTGGATTCCAGGAATTATAAAACTGAACTGGTGGAGAAATACAAACAATATCACCCTTGGATTATTCTGAAGAAATAAATTGACTAACCTTTAAAGACTTTTGAACATTGGATTTATAGCTTGAAAGATGGCTGGAATATGCAAAGAAATCATATCGGAGATACAAGAAAAAAGAAATTAACAGAGGGATGGTGGACATTTTGAATAAATTAATGGGTGTGGTAGAGAAGCTGGAAATGAAGACGCAGATAGCAGAGACGCAAGCAATGGAAAGAAAACAAGAAACCTTGGAAGAGGAAGAACTAGCTGAAAATTCAACGAAAGAATCTGGATGATGCAACAATCAAAAATAAAAAGCAATAAGGATATAGAGATTAATATAATGATTGAGATAATAAAACAAAGGGGGGAAACTATAAGAGGAAAATATGTTAAGAGGATAGAGGTAGAATTAGACAATTGGGAGAAGAGAAAATGGAATCTTATAGAGAAGAGTAAGGGGAAAGCTAAAAAAAAAAAGATAGAAAATGGAAGACAAGCCAGAAAGTGAAGAATCAGTTCCCTATTGGAAACAAGATGATCGCTGAAAATGAAAAAGTAGAGATACCACACGAATGCAGGTATTAATATTGAAGATATATAATGGATAATAATAACATGGAATTAATATGGTACTAGAGGATTAGCATTAAAGATATAAAACAACTTTAATAAATAAGAAAAAGGATATTGTGAAGTAGAGAAAAAAAGAAACACATGGAATCTGTTAGATTTGAAAGAAGGCAGTGAAATATATTAATAGATAAAGGGGAGTATAATAGAATGGTATAATATGTTAAATATTAATAGAATGTATATCATTTGTTTTATTAGAACTGGGTGTAGGAAGAAATTTTGTTTTTTGTGTAATGGTGGCATAGCTAAAAATTAAACGGGATAAATAGAAAATATAAATTAACATAAATTTATGAATGGACATTGAAATATATAATTAAGTAAATGCTACAAATATGACTATTAACATAGAATCTATAATATAAGCAGAGATGTTAAGAATATAGAAATCGATATAAAATATATGAAAATATTAAACATGATTGATAATATGTATTAATATTAAATTATGGAAGAAAGCTAACAATATCAATGTGAAATTATTGTCATGTTTGTTTTAAAAAATGTAAAGTAATTTGGAACTATATTGTTTATGATTGGTTATACAATTTATTGAATACTGCAAATATGACAATTAATATAGAAGTCATGATAAAAGAAATGATGTAAAGAATATAGAGATTGATATAAAATAGTGTATGAGAATATTGAATAATTAAGATTGATAATATGTATTAATATTAAATTATGCAAGAAAGGTAATAATAGTGAGATGGAATTATTGTCATGTTTGTTTTAAAATGTAAAACATCTTGGAACCATACTGTTCACATAATGATGTTTTTATTTAAAAAAATTGGGAGGGGAGTAAAAAAAAAAGAAAATGGTTTCTCTTCTCTTTGCTGCTGGTTCATCATATTGGTTCTCCTTAGCATCAAAGGAGGTAGACAGTTGCTGGACTGAGCTTCCTATATTTGATATCAGCAGTAAAATGAATAGTTTTATGAGAGAGCTTGTTTTGCCTAAGCATTTTAGAGCTGTTGGTTTGGGCAATGACATATATAATTTGGCATGGTCTCTTAAAATATTGGTCTTATATTACGTTTGTTTTTAGGTCATTACTGACAAATTGATGCCTTGCAGAAAACAAGAAGCCTGATCTTGTGAGAAGATTTGTTAGCAGCGGACTTTAAAACTTCAAGATGGGTAAGGAGGAAAGAAGTTATAGGGCATGTTTCAAAAGTTATGTTTCTTAGGATAATTAGCTAATCCAGACTATGAGGGAATTATTTGGATAGCAGAGATAATAGTAATGAGTTTGGATGTTTAGCACTGTTAACCTGGTTAATACTGTAGATTTCTAGATTGTATAGAATTAATTTTAAAAGTGTAAAAGTGGATTGAGATATGTCCTGTTTATTTGTAAGAAACATCATGACAGACAAACCTTATTGCCTTTTGATAAAATAACTACATTAGTAGATCAGTAAAATGTGGTAGACACAACATACTTGGATTTCAGTAAGGCATTTGATAAAGTAGACTACAGCCTACTTCTTAATAAGATAGAAAAATGTGGGAAAGGCAGCTTTACCACTTGATGGATTCGTAACTGGCTGACAAACCACACTCAATATGTAATCCTCAATTGAACTGCATCTATGTGGAGGGAAATATGCTGTGAAGTACCCCAAGGTTCTGTTTTACACCCAGTAGTCTTCAACATCCTCATAAACAATTTAGATGAGGAGATAGAAGGGGAACTCATCAAATTTGCCAATGACACCAAGCTGGGAGAAACAGCCAATACTTTGGAATATAGGCTCAAAATCCAGAAGGATCTTCATAGACTTGAACACTGGGATCTATCTAATAAAATACAATTCAGTGGGGAGAAAAATGAAGTCCTGCACTTAGGCAGGAAAAACCAAACATACTGGAAAGTACAGAATAAGTGCTAACTGGCTCAACAGTAATAACTGTGAGAGGGATTTAGGTGTTCTAGTGGATCACTGCTTAAGTATGAAGTAGCAATGTGCTGCTGCTGCCAAAAAAGCCAATCAGGCCTGAGCTGCATCAACAGAGGGATAGCATCAAGATCAGAGGAAGTGATAATATATTATTCCACATTAGCAAGGCCACACTTGGAATACTGTGTCCATTTTTTATTTCAATTATACAAAAAAGATGTTGAGGCTCTGCAAATGTGCAGAGGAGAGCAACAAAGATGATAAAGAGTCTGGAGGCGAAATCATACAGTGAATGGTTAAGGGAGCTAATTATATTTAAGAACAAGGACGACTAGATTTAAGAACAGTTTTTATCCAAGTGCAGTTTTGAGTTTGAATGCAGGGTCATAAGATTTTTGTGGAATTTAATGGCTGAGAGTAATGGGGTATTTACATTTTTAAATTGTATAGAGATTATTGTATGGTCTGTTGTGTTTAATTTTATTTTTCTTTCAATGGTGTTGTCCAGTTTTACTTGTGGAAGAGCACCTCATTTCGTTGCACCCACTTGCGAGTGTAATGACAAATAAATAAATTCTTCTTCTTATTCTTATATTTAGCCTATACCTTTAGAGAAGGTTTAAGGGGAACATGACAACTGTCTTCCAGTACTTGAGGACTGTCACAGAGAAGAAAGGATTGACTTATTTTTTTAAAGCACCTGAGGGCAGGACAAGAAATATTGGGCAGAAATTTGTTAAAGAGAGACCCAACCTAGAAGTAAGGAGAAATTTTCTGATGCTTGAGAACAATTAGTTAGTGAAATAGTTTGCCTCCCAGAGTTATGATTGATTAATCACTGGATAACTATTGATTATATAAAGCTCCTGCCATGAGCAAGGAGCTGGACTAAAAGACCCCTTCCAACCCTATGATTCTATGAGTCTGTGTTCTCCTTTTTGCAGAGACAGAAAAGCTGCTGACCCCCGTGAATAGTTATGGATCTCATGATAGGGATATGAGGCCAGTCTTAGGATCTACTGCCTTTCACCCAGAAGAGGAAGAATTCCGAAGGTGTCTCAAATATTACTTCATGAGCCCCTGTGACAAGTTTCGTGCCAAAGGTCGGAAGCCATTTAAATTGGTGCTTCAAGTTATCAAGATTTTAATAGTCACCATTCAGGTGTGTAAGAAAATGCAAACTCCCAAATGGCTTTGTCTATTCTTTTTTAAAAATCAATATCACAGTTTATCCTGAATAGTTTTTAACTTTTCCTTGAGAGGAGAAGGCATCTTTTCTGCAGTCGAGGACTGGATTTTCTCTGGCCCTCTAAAGGTGTGGAGGACCTGGCTGATGATGCTATGAACTTACTTACCAGAGGGATCAGATTTTTGGCAATTTTTAAGGTTTTGGGATTCTTTGATTTACTTCAGCTTGGTTTGCTTTCTCTTCTACAGCTCATTCTCTTTGGGCTCAGCAATCAGATGGTGGTAACATTCAAAGAGGAGAACACTATTACATTTAAGCATCTCTTCCTGAAGAACTATGCAGATGGGTCAGACGATACCCATGCAGTTTACACACAAGCAGACGTCTATGACCATATCTTCCATGCAGTGGAAAATGTGAGGTTCAAATGCAGTAGAAGGGGGACAGGGCATATGGATGATCTGGAATTAATTGGCTTCATTCTGGTGATGGTAATTTCCTCCTACAGTATTTAGCCATTCCGAGTGAGACAATTGGACGTTATGCCTATGTTCACCCAGACAATGCTAACCAATCAGCCCTCATGCTCTGTCAGCAATATTACCGCAAGGGAAGAATTGACCCAGCCAATGATACTTTCAACATTGATCCCAAGGTCATCACAGGTAAGCAAATGTCTTCCCTAAATCTTAGCTCTTGTATCTACTCTTCAATCTTGGATATGGAAATGGTCCTTTCTCTTGCTAACCCTCCAGCTCTTATGATCTTCAGGTGAGGTCATTATGAAGATGTTCTTGCTACTAGACATTTTCTATCTAGCAAGCAAGAGAGGGTCTTTTCCAGTGGTGAGATTCAAATAATTTAACAACTGGTTCTCCTGTCTTGGGACTCAACTTTTCTCTGACGGGTGAGAAATGATGGTGGCGGAAGCATCCTCTCCACCTGGCCATCCGATACCATTTATGCAGACTTCTGCAGGAGTTTAGGGCGGAAAGAAAAACATTGAGCCTCTACTGTAGGACAACGGACAGCAATGCCGCAGAAACTGAGCTGCCGCAGAGCCTCACTGCTCTGGTCACCTAGTGGTAACACCACTTGCACCTTAAAAGAAGCAAACTCCGGGCAGAAGGGAGTTACCCTCCCCACCCCTCCAAGGGCCTCCCAAGCCCATTCTTGTGTGATGTAGGGGTGTGAGCTTATGGGGGCAGCTCCCTATTGGAGCCTGGGCAGATAGCCCACTGCAATCTCTTGATTCGCATCTCCACCCGCACAAGTTGCTAACAGGAGCAACTGCGCTCGCAGCTCGTTTTCACTGGAAGTGCTGCGGAAATTGTGCAGCATCTTGAGGAAAGAAGCTCCCAGGAACAGAGTTTTTGCAGCTGCATCTATTCTTGGTGTGCGTGAAAAGTTACAGCCACCACTCTTTCAGTGACAACTATAGGAGCTATCTTGCGGGTGGGCTACTGTATAATCCTTGGATTATATGCAATGGTTCTAGATGAGGGGGGGCGGAGAATAACCCATTCAGACAAAGACCCATGAAGGGGAATGTTCCTGCTGATCCTCAGGGAAAACTCCCCTCCCCTTGCACACACAGTTCCAGCCCAAATTCCTGCAAGCAACGATGGCCAGTGCATTGATCCCTGAGTACAGCCAGCCCAGAGTGGGTCTCCCTCCCCCGTCTCTCCCTTCACTCCGCTCATCATGATTGCCTGTGAAGGTAAGGCTGATGGTGGGGAAAAGAGACATGTACCAGGCCTGCCATGCTCAGCGGAAGGGTGTGGGCTTCCTCGGCATATAGTGAAGCTTGGCCACCTTTTGGGCCTGGCTCTCGACTTCCGCAGGGCCTCCGGGTGGCTGTCGTCCACTCACCCTCCCTTCTGCCTTGGATCCTGCATCCAGCCCACAACGGGGGGACATGCTGCTTCTGGGCCAGCTCGGCTGGCAGTGGGTGAGCGGGTGGCTCTGGGGAGAGTGCCGTGCTGGGACTGAGTCTGCTGCAGTGCAGTGAGCTGAGAGCGTGCAGCCCCAGGACAACCACCCGGCCACCTGCCAGGAGCGCCGCCACTGGGCACTGTCCCCATTGGGATTTGAAGGGCAGGGTACTTGGGCCGGCAGAGGTGCATGTAAACACTTGAGCCCCTTGAGGTCTTTGGAATGGATCAGGTTGTCCAAGGCTTTGCTCCTCAGGAAGGGCTCTGTTGTGGAGGCCTGTGTGCCTGGACTGGGGCTTTCTTTTGGGCCTCCTGTCCGGAGGCCCCATGGAAACCAAGAGCCGGGCCCAAAAGGCGGCCAAGCTTCACCTTGTCCCCTGAAGTGGCCCTTGGGCCGAACACAGCAGGTCCACAGTGGGTCTCCCTCCCTGACCATTGGCCTTATCAGGCCAGGTGAGGAGGGGCTGGGAGGGAAGGGGCGAGGGGCTGGGCATGGCGAGGCATGCTATTCAGACAGTTCACTGAACTGCACAAAAAGTTAGCTACCAGTTCAGCCAAACTGGAGAAAACTGGCTGAATCCCACCACTGTTTTTTTTTTTTTGCATCACACCTAGACTGTGGAACACATACTCTTAGGAGAGATATTTGGCTCCTACTCTCCTTTTCACTGGATGTTTCATTGTCAATTGATTTCAGTTTTAATTTTCATGCGGCTAATCTTTTATATTTTTATAATTTTATTAGCCAAATAGAATGCTCATCTAAATAAAAATGGGGTGCAAATTAGGTGAATAATATAAATGGTTTTCCTTCTTCTTTATGAGCCCTTAAAACAATATTTTATTATACTGTAATATGATGCAAGTTCTCTGTAGAATCAGAAAGCTGTTTTAACAACTTTTGTTTTCCTGGGTTCTACCCATGTCTCAGGTTTCTCAATCTCTTTACTTACGTTGACTTGTGGTAGAAAATAAGGGAAGTTGTCTTTTGTCTTGCTATTTTTATAGGTATGTTTTCTATGTAGTATGCCTTCTATTATAAAATGAAGAATAAATATCGGTAGCAGACTGGTGGCACAAGTCCAATTTGATATGAAGAAATACAACTGACACTACTCCCTCCTCCTATTTTCATCCAAATGTGGAAGGGTCTAAAGCCCGAGACAATGTCTCCTTTTTATACAGAATGCCTTGGTGTGGATCCCCCAGAGAAGATCCCTCCTCCATCTGAACTCAGAAGGAAACATCCAGATCTAGCATTGGACCGCAGCTACAAAAACTTTACTCTTAAGTTTTACAAGTAAATGGTTATATTTTATTGGTATTTGTAGGAACTCTTCAGGGTTGACAAGCTCCTTATGTTTATGCCCTAACTACTGTTTGGGGGGAATATTGCACTGATCTTTGCAAACCTGAAGGTTCCATCTAAATCTTTTTGTGCATATGGTATAGGTATTCATTTTTATATTCATTACTGCTTTGAACCAAAATAAGTTGATTCCTATAACTTCATATCTACAGTCATGTGAAAAAGAAAGTACAGCTTCTTTGAGTTCAATAGTTTTATGTATCAGGGCATAGTAAAAAAAAATCTGGTCCTTAGTGGTTCTTAAAAGTAAATACAATCTTAGATGAACAACAACACATGACATATTACACCATAACACCATTTACTTTACAATAAGAAAACCAAAACGAGGAATATCAGATTATGTCCTAATATGTAAAAACATAGAATACAAAGATGGTGTACTTTCTTTTTCACATGACTGTAAATAGTTGTCTGTCTATGTCTGTCTTTCTGTCTGTCATATTTGAAGGATGCAGTTATTGTCTCATATTTTGTACAATTTCGATAGTTGAGATCTAATCATTTTTCTCATTCTGTTATATATGTGTATTTGTGAGATGTAATGGGAGATTGTGATACAGTTAACTCTCAACATCTTGTTTCTGGCAGGCTCATTAATGTCACAATTGACTTTAGACTAAAAGCCATCAACATCCAAACAATAATCAACAATGAAATTCCAGACTGCTACACTTTTTCTATAACAGTGAGTAGCCAAGTGCCCTGATCGTTGCTTCTCAATTCATGTTCATGGATTCCCCATTCAAATACTATTTAGTAGAACTGAAGATAGTAATAGCAATAGCAATAACACGTAGACTTATATATCACGCTACAGTGCTTTATAGCAGGGGTCGCCAACCTTTTGGACCTCAGGGACCACCAAACTCATACTTTTAAATCCTGAGGACCACTTATATGGTTTTTTGTTAAAGATAATATATTTAATATAAAATTTTTGTTATATTAAATATAAATGTACTATTTAAAAATTAGTTTTTAATATATAAATATATATTTTTAAATATAAAAATGCTTATTTAATTATAACAAAAAAATATAACAAGAAAAGCAAAGGCCCCCTCCCCCACCCACCCCAAAATCTGGTCTCCTGTCATTTCATATCTCCCTCAAATTAGAAGAAATCTCTCCCTCCTTTGCCAGGTGTGGCTGCCTGGAGTTGGGGGAGGGAAGGAGGGCCGGGCTGAAAACATGCCTCCACCTGGAAGCCTCCCCCCACCCCAGGTCTTTAACACCTGGCTTGCTTCTCCACTACTGCCTCCTCCTCTTCCAGCACCTCCCTCTCCGGGTAGGGCGATTATGAACTAACCAAGTGGCTACACTGATACCCCAGCTGCTCTCTTTCCTGTGGTAAGACTTGGCGTGTGGAGAAAGGAGCTGACAGCTGCTACTTGGCCGTCCTGCAGGCGAGGCGTAGTCATCCTGGTCCAAAAATTAAGACATACCAGTCACAAACCCAGAGTCCAAGCAGAGAGGAGTCGCTTCCCCCTGCCAGGAAGAGTGGTGGGCGAGGGCACTCATGGTTCAGCACAACAGGCAACCTCCACTCTGGGCTGATGAACCACATGCTGAAGACCACATGGCTGTTGGGAAGGTGGGGCAACAGGGGTAATATTGGTGGCAGATGGACTCATATGCTTGGGAGATCGCAGCATAGGCTTGGCCTGCAAGGAGGTGGGGGTGGGGGGAAAGGAACCTCTGAACTGGTGTTACCTTCTGCCTCTTGCCTCTGCGCATCGAGGAGGTTGAGCAGCTGCCAGCGATGCCCTCAGGGGAAGATATTGCAAGGGGGAGGCTCGACACTCCCCCCCCCCGGAGATTCTCTTCCTCCTCACCAGAAGCACTCACACACAAAGCGCTCACTACCCCTCTGGTCCCCGTCAAGCCTCCTTCCAGCTGAGCGTGTGAGCGCTTCAGGCAAGGAAGCTCCTGAGGGCAGGGGCGCGGGAGATTGCAGCATCAGAGTCCTTCCCAGGTGTTTCCTGGCCTGTGAGGGGAGGGCGCGATCTCCTGTGCCTCCCCCTCAGGAGCTTCACTTCCTCCTCACCAGAAACGCTCACACACAAAATGCTCACCACTCCTCTGGCCCCCGTCAAGCCTCCTCCTTCCTGCTGAGCATGTGAACGCTTCTGGTGAGGAGGAAGAGGGGGGTCAAGCCTCCCCCTCGCAACATCTTCACCAGAGGGCAGCTGCTTCCTGCGGCTTAGGAGGTCCGCACTCTTCCCGCTGCTGCTCAGCCTCCTCGATGTGCTGAGGCAGGAGGCAGCAGCCATGACACGGATTTGCTAAGGAGACTGCAGGATTGCTCCACCTCCACACCTCAGCATGCTGTGGCCCGCCAGAATTTTCTCACAGCCCACCAGTGGGCTGCAGCCCACCGTTTGGCAACCACTGACTTTATAGCACTCTCTCAGCAGTTTACAGAGTCAGCATATTACCCACAACAATTTGGGTCCTCATTTTACCCACCTTGGAAGTATGGAAGGTTGAATCAACCTTGAGCCTGGTGAGATTTGAACCACCAAATTGCAGACAGTCAGCAGTCAGCAGAAGTAGCCTGCAGTACTGTACCATGGCTCAGTGCTACTTTTATTCTTTTCTTCTCTTCATTTTTCCCCAGATTACATTTGACAATAAAGCACACAGTGGCAGAGTGAAGATCCGTTTGGATAACAAAGTGGACATTCAAGAATGCAAAAACCCAAGTATCTCTGGCAAAGGTACCAGTGAGTTACAGGGGGAGGAACATGGCACAAGTATAAGCTTGCTTCATAAAGGGGCATTGTACTCAACAGCATACTTAGGCAATGAATATAAAACTATAATTCGCTTCATTTCTGGATATCCCTTTGGTTGTTCTCTTTCTAAAAGGAAATTATTAAAGATATTCATGATTGCTTGCTCAGTGCACTATATTCCCCCATTGATACCAATGATTAGGACTGTCACTCATTCATTGAATTGTGGCTCATATTATGGCATTTATTACTTGATGTATTGTTTGCAGTAGTTGCTCTTAATAAGGTGATAATTCCATCAGTTTCATATGCAATGCATAAAGAAATACTTTCATTAGTACTTAGCTTCATGGTCTGATCCTAATGTGCAAAGACGATATGTGTTAATTATTTGTAAATATTCATCATGCATTCACCATTAGTTACTATTTCTAAATTTTAAGGGTACAAGTCCTTAAGATTTTCAGTATAAAGATGCTTATTTTCATAATTCACTTGGTATCCTTTTTCTGGACTTTTTCAAATTGTAAGCTTTTCTTTGAAGAACTAGGATTAGTAAAAATGTAATGTATTTTCCAAATGAGTCAAAGGCATGATTATATTTCATAGTTTGCTTGTAATTACTGTCTTAAAGCAAGATAACCAGGTAGCCACTCTCTCTCCCTTCCTGCCCATCATCTTTCCTGCCTATCTCCCAGCTGTTTCTTCCTCTCCCAGCACCACTCATTAATATCAGTTCCTACTATAGCAGGGTTGTCAAACTCAAGGCCCATGGGCCGGGGTGCTTAGATCCGGCCCATGGGGCTGGTCTGGAAACAGAAAAAGATCATCCTGTGTGCATCTGCTAGCAAAAATGGAGCGCGTCCCCCCCCCAGACTCCATTTTCACTGGCAGAGGTCTACAGAAGGCCATCCAGGCCAAAAATGGGGTGCGGGGCTCATGACCCCACAAACTCCGTTTTTGTTGGCAGAGAGCTTCAGGAGGCTGTCCAGGATGAAAATGGGGCATGGGGGGGTTGTGCTGCCCCTCAAACTCTGTTTCACTAGCAGAGGGCTGCAGAAGGCCATCCAGGCTGAAAACTGGGCATGGGATCCAGTGCATGGCTCCCCCGAGCTCTGTTTTCACTGGCAGAGGTCTATCAAAATAAACTAAAAACAAAACAAAAGGAGAAATATTTCCCCTTTTGCATTTGAGCATGCAAGAAGGGACGGGAAAGGAGAAAGGGAAAGAAGAAAGACAAAGAAAAAGATGGGAAGAAAGCAAGGAAGGAGAAATAAGGAAAGAGGGGAAGGAAGAAGAAAGGTGAACCTGCCATTTTGTCCATGAAAGCCACCTTCAACGGGGACGCGGAGACTCTGGTGTTCTTCATGAACCAGGTATGGGTCATCTAGATGACCACATGATGGACTACCCAAGTGACCGAGTGATGGTCTATGCTGTGACAGCTAACTTAGTAGGGGAGGCAGCTGAATGGGTGACCGAGCTCCATGACGAGGATGCAACAGACCTGGGGAACACTGACACCTTCCTACAAGAGCTGAGGAATTAGTTTGAGGATGACTCCCAGACCCTACAAGCTGAAGCTGAGATCCATGAACTAAAAGAGGAGCCAACCCACTAAATAATATACCAGAGAGTTCCGGCGAGTGGCTGGGATGCTGCAACCATGGCCGGAGAGATTACTGGTCTATTTCTTCAAAGAGGGTCTGGACCGTGAGCTGCTAAATGCATGCATTTACTGAGGGGTCACTGACCAGATCCACGAGTGGTACCAAATGGCAGTAGCGATAGACCTCGAGCTAAAACAATGCAAGCAATGTAGAACCACGGAGCCAAAGCCTAAGACCCAACCAGAGAAACGACAACTGGGGAGGCAACCCCCAGTCAAGATGCAGGCACTTCCAAAGGAGCTTCAAGGGCTGCCCATCAAATCTTTTTGCTGCGATCAGCAGGGCCACCGGACTGTTGCGTGCCTCGCCCCAGTCCCCAACTTTTGATGGGGACCCGGAGAAACTAGCATTCTTCATGAACCGGTGAAAGCCAACTCTGAAAGTTCCTGCAGTTTTCACCTAATTAAAAGTTTAATACTTTCCCCCTCCCCACTGTAACCAGTCACATTGTCCAATGAATATGGCTGACAGGCTCTTCTCCTCCACCAGCCACCTGTTCTGATGACCTTGGTTCCCACAGGAAAACTTTTTATTTTGACTGTAAGCTGGGCTATCTACTTCCTCCCTCTCGTTCTTTCTCAGGCTTCGTGGCAACTGTGAGGCAGGACAAGATGGCTTCAGCCAGGTTTGCTTCAGAGTTGACAGTTGGACCTCTCCACTTTAATTGGAGAGATTTCCTGAAAAATTCAAATGGATAGGAATTGAATTTTCAATCATCCACCCCTCCCTTCCCCTGGAGGTGGTTTTGGTTTTTGAGGGTATTTATCATGAAACTAGCTCAGTACTTGTGCTTTGCTATGAAACTATGTGGTTGGGCTTAGTTTGGGGGAGGAAAATAAGGGAAAAAAATTCTGCGGGCTGAGGGGGTTGAAGGAGTCAGCCCCCGGGGCTTCAGTGAATCTGGGATGGAGGTTCACTCGCCTGAGGCAGCCATGGCTGGAGTGGTAAATGGCCGGGCAGTACCTGCCAACTCAGCTAGGGCCGTGGGTGGTCGAGTGAGTCACCTCCTTCCGTGCGCCTCAGCAGGCTCCGTCCTTGCCCAAGGCTTTCGAGGTTTCCCTGATTGAGCCCCTCCAGTTCTTCTTCCAAGCCCTGGATGAGCAACACTCTTTGGCACCCCCAGGTACCCAATTCATCCAGGGCCTGCTGCTTGGGGATTTGGCAGCTGCAGCGGAAGAGTCCCACGGGCCAGGCCGGGACTTCCTTGGCAGCACTTCAAACTTCTGCAATCCGAGCCATTGGCTGAGCAGCTGCTTTCTGGGTTGACTCTCAATCCGCTGCAGGGTGGTAAGCATGGGAGCGAAGGAGCCAGCACAAGGAGCTGCAGTGGGTCAGGGATAGAGACCCACTGTGCCTGGAACCAGCCATGACTGGTGCTGTAGTTTTTGCTGGGCTGTGCTTGCCCTGTTGGCTGGGGCCGTGGGTAACAGAGGACCGCCCCCTCCCGGCGCATCAACAGGCTCCACTGTGGTTCTGGGCTCTCGTGGCTTATCCAATTAGACCCCTTGGCAGGCTTCCCAGGCTCCGACTGCATAACATCGTCTGGACCCACCAGGACCCCGACTCAATGGAACTCTCAGACTTATTCTTTGGTGGGTCGGCCACTCTGCTTTAGTTCACAGATCTCAGCTTCAGCTTGGAGTGCCTGGCAGTCGTTCTTGAACCTATTCCTCAATTCTTGCAGTAAGGCATCAAAGTTCCCCATCTTTGGTGTGTCCTCGTCATGGAGCTGGGTCACCCATTCAGCTGCTTCCCCCTCTTAAGTTAGCTGTTACAGTGTGGACCATTGCTAGAACTAGCTGGCAATGGATGGCAGCAGGGCAGGAACCTCAGGGTCGGTCTGCTTTAGGACCTCGCCAGGGCACTCGAGCCTGCCCCATCTCCTCAGTGCTCATCCAGTCAAACCTGTCCTTCAGGTTCTCCATTGGTGAGCTGTCACATATCTCTATTCTCCGGATTTTTACAGCTCAGGAGGCCTTCTCACCCTCCATTGCGGAGCAAGAGCGGCCAACTCCCACATAGATGTCAGTGGAAACTCCGTCCCAAGCCTCTGAAGAGAGCCCTGATGTCAGAGGTCCTCCTTAGCTCAGTACAAGTCCTCGGTGATCTTTGCCTCTGCTTGGACCTTGGGTTGAGTTACTGCTGGGAGGACGACCTCCATCAATATCGCCACAGTCTGAAGTACCTCTGTGGGGGTGTCCAGGCTCTCTGTGGGTGTTGCACTGGTGATTGCACCTCCTTCCCTTTGCTTCTCCTTTGCAGTCTTTCCTAGATCTTCTCTACTCCCCTCAAGAGATCGGGTGAGCAGCCGAGTGTCAGGACCCCAGAGAGCAGCTCTGGTTGGACTGGAAAGTTAGGAGAGTTGGCTTAATGTCAGCATGAGTAATGCATCCACTGAAAGAAGCAAACTGAGGTTCTTCTCTAAGAACATGTTTATTGGATATATCATATTGGCACAGCCATTGAAAACCAACTCTGAAAGTTCCTGCAGTTTTCACCTAATTAAAAGATTAATACTCCCCCCACCCTCCCCAGTGTATCAGTTCATTGTCCAATGAACATGGCTGGCAGGCTCTTCACCACCACCACCAGCTACCTGCTCCAATGGCCCTGGTTTCCACAAGAAAACTTATTTTGACTGTAAGCTGGGCTATCTACTTTCCCCCTCCTCTTCTTTCTCAGGCTTCATGGCAACTGTTAGGCAGGAGAAGATGGCTTCAGCCAGGTTCACTTCAGCATTGACAAGAGAATGAAGAGGGAAGGAAAAAGAAGAAAAGGAAGGAAGGAAGGAAGGAAGGAAGGAAGGAAGGAAGGAAGGAAG